GGGCATCTGTTGCAAGAAGCTACTATGTCATCAAATCACCCAAAAAAGTCAGGGAGCCCTGCTGAGTGAGCACTGGGGAGTCTCAGCCAGAGGTGCATCCCCAGGAATGGGGAGGGGGGTGGTTGGCAGATGGGAACATATAAATTCAGCAACCCAGAAAAAATAACCAGTGCATTGGACAAGCGGGTCTCATGGGGTGTGCTCAGAAAACAATTTTATTATTTTACAGTTTTTGCCCTAATTTCCCCACTGAAACTTGCTCTGTGGGGCTAGCTCTCATCTTGCCCGTAAGTGAATCTCTGGCAGGTTCTGTGCCCCTCCTGATCACTCCCAATTTTAAAAAGTCCTCTGGTCACTGTTTAAAAACTTTTATTATGGAAATTTCCACACATGACCGAAAATAAAGAAAATGGTATGCTGAACCCCAATGTAACCAATCACCCAGCTTCAACAATTATCAACAGTCGTGTTTGTTTTATCACTTCCCATCTCCCCCCAACACACACTTTGTTTTTCTGGGATGTTTTAAAGCAAATCCTCTGAGTACTTTTAGAAATGAAAATAACCTTTGTTCCACAATGAGTAAGCCCAGCAGGGTGAGATAATCTGGGACTTCCAAACTCCACATCAAGCTAGGGCTTACCGTCCCCCTAGGGCTGCTGCAGGCTGGGGGCCTGCCTTTCCAAAGGGGCCTGGGTGGGTGTCTTCTCTGTTCCCTACCTACGTCTCTCCTTTCCTGCTGCTCACAGCTGCCCCTGGCTCCTGCAGGGGTGGGGTCAGGGACAGGGAGATGTTCCCGCTGGCTCTCACAGGCTACGGGCAGCGGTCAGCTGCATGTCCCAGGAGGACTCCCCATCTCTCCCCTGCAGCTCTTGCCTACTGAGCACTGTCCCCAGAGCCAATGGATGGAGGGTGAAAACAGACACATGATTGCCTGGGTCAGAGAGCAGTGGATGCTGGGTAAACTGAACATGGGGTGGCTGCCCTTCACCAAGAAGACCTTTTTTCAGTGGAAAGAAAAATTAGGTGGGAGGAGGGGAAGGTATATGCTGCCTTCACCCACTAGGTGAACTGCAGGATTCTCTCTCCTGCTTAGGTGATTAGCATCTCACACGGGATGTGAGAATCATTGTTGCTTCTTGCCTTGGAGCTGTGCTGTCCAATATGGTAGCCACTAGCCATGTGGCTATTGGGCACTTGAGATGGGCTGTAAGTGTGAAATACACACTGGGTTTCCAATCATGTCGAATATCTTATTAATAGTTTTTTATATTGATTACATGTTGAACTGATCATATTTTTATATATTATATTAATCACATGTATTATTAAAATTAATTTTACCTATTTCTAATTTTTTAATGTGGCTGCTAGGAAATTTTAAATTCCATCTGAGGCTCACATCATGTTTCCGTTGGTCAAGGTGGCCTTAGAGACTCAGCTAAAACCATGAGTGAAATTGTTGCATTTTTATACTATGTTACCAAAAAAATTGGTCCTAGAGCCAATGAAGATTTGATCTGGATGAACGTCTAGTTGGACTCCTTCATTTTACATGACAGAACCGAGGCCCCAAGAGAAGTGACTGGCTTGGCTTAGGGTCACCAAATGTCACTGCAGAGCACATAGCTATTTCAACCTGCTCCTGTCAAAAGATGGCTGCCAAACTTCCGGAAAATTCTTCATATTTTATGCTTCAAAATGAAGTATTTCAGATGGCAACTGGACTTTTGGTGGTGAACACAATGTAGTCTATACAGAAGCTGAGATAGAATGAGGTACACCTGAAATTTATATAGTTATAAACCAATGTCACCTCAATAAAAGTAAATAAATACTGAAGTATTTCAGAGTCTCATAGCTGCATGACAGCTGGGCGTGCAGAGGGCAAGTCCACAGACCTTTCTTGGGGCCAGTGGAAATGGCTGTGTGTACGCCAGCAGACAGCACAGGGCCCTGAAGCGGTCTGGGTCTGAGGTCAATGAACTGGCAGCCTGAGCCCTAAATCTGGCCAGCAGATCTGTTTTGATTGGCCTGAGATGTTTTACAATTTTTTGAACCATTTGCCAACATTTCAACATTAGGAAATGTCAATAAAAATACAGGTTCCAACTTCTCCAGAAAAATTAGACCTGGTGACACTAGGCTCGCTTTCCTGCCTGACAACAGCCCGCTGGCACTCTGCAGGGGCTGCCCCTTTGGATGTGATGTCACCTGCTGGATTCCCCACAGCTCCCACCCTGCCATCCTCTCCCTCACAGGGGCCCAGAGCGGTTGACAGCTGTAATCAAGTTGATCCCCAGTTTTTCTTAGACAGAGGAAAGAGGAAAGTGAAGTGGTTTTCATACCTCTGTCTCTATCAAAAGGTGAAGACATAAACGCTAAGCCAAGAGGGTTTCATGTTTCAGGAGAAAAAAATCTTTTTTTTTCTTTTGAGGAAGATTAGCTCTGAGCTAATATCTGCTGCCAATTCTCCTCTTTTTTTGCTGAAGAAGACTGGCCCTGAGCTAACATCCACGCCCATCTTCCTCTACGTTATATGTGGGATGCCCTCCACAGCATGGCTTGACAAGCGGTGCATAGGTCTGCACCTGGGATTCGAACTGGCGAACCCTGGGCCACCGAAGCAGAACATGTGCACTTAACAGCTGCACCACCCAGCTGGCCCCAGAAAAAATCTTTTACCCAGCTGTTCCACCTATTTGCATCACCTCCCTCCTCACCATGGCCACTTGAGACTGCTCTCTGACCTAACTTGTTTCTGCTGCATCCCACAACAAAAGGGAAAGTGGCCATTTTGCCCATTTTCCATGAGGAAACTGAGGCGCTGAGAGACCACCACCCACTGAATACAAGGAGCTGGCTCTGGAGCGGGGTCCCCAGGGCCAGGGTGTCCTGAGGTCTGGGGCTTCTTTCCAGCTCTCTGACATTCCAGGACCGAGTCACGGGGATCCATCAGCCAGGGCTGCAGGTGCTTCTCCCCAAGGACTGATAACGTACCTCTGGGGGGCAAAATTCGATACAGTCAGCCTCCCCATGGCTTATTCCAAGAGCCACATCCAGGCGCAGGAGGGAGAAAGACTCAAATTAAGCCATGCTGAGGGCAGGAAACGACCGAGAGGGCGGTCACCGCTGGCAGGATGGTCAGCTTGGCATTTCTGTTACTTCTCCAGGTATCAGGCCATCTTTGTCCCTGATGGCATCCTACCCTCCGGGCCCTGGAGCCCAGTCCTGTCTCCCAGGGTGGGGGGACAGCCACCCCCAGACACTCCAGCTTTCAGGACAGGTCCCAGCAGAGTCCCAGACAAGGCCTGCCGCATGAGGCTGGCACCCTAAAGGGCACAGGGCAACCCCCAGAAGCAGGGGCCCTCTCAACTCCCCCACTGAAGGGCTAGGAAGCTTTTCCTTGTCCCAGGAGACCTATGGGCTGTTTCTTGTTGCCAAATGAGCAGGCAGGAGAGGGCAGGCTGCCTTGGGAGGGGAGAGAATTGGGGTTTAGTTAAAACTAAGGCTGTTTATTTGTTAAAAATTAGTCTACTTTATTGGGGTTGGGGGTAAGACAGGAAGTGACAAGTGCCCAGCAGGCAGATGCCCCAGAAGCTGGCAGAAGCCCATCATGGAAACAGATACTTGCCAACGCCTGCCGGGTAAATGGCAAAGGATGTGAGCCCTTCATTTCACTAGGAAATGAGTGGAGAGGACCATCTGGGAGTGAGGTGGCCTGAACTGCTTGGACCGGCCAGGCGAGCCTCTAAACGCAGGATCCTCATTGCTTGCTCCCTTGGCCGTCACACATTCACACTTACATTTGCTTGTTTGTTTGTTCCCCTTTGTCTGTTAGTTTACAAAAAAGTACCATGCACAGATACGGAAAGATCGGCAAGTGAAAAAAAGGAGCAGGAACAATGCGTTTAGAATGCCACTTTTACGGGAGAATGAGGAAAAATAAGTATATTATTCAGGTTTGCTTGGATTTCTATCAATAAAATATGGAAGGATACACAAGAAGCTAACAAAAGTGATTACTGGGGGACAAGGTAGAAGGAATATATCTCGAAGTATACATTTAAAAAACAAAATGAAATTTAAAATAAATTAAAAATACCACAAACAACTTCATAAATGGTTTAAAATGCAGAGGAGGGAAACCCACCCTAACCCTCCTGTTGTAAGAACACAGATATATTCATTGATGCTTTTATATTGTATGGATACAATCAAAGGGCAATAAAATTGTTCTCCTAATTGTTTCACTGAACATCGTAAGTGTTGCCCAGGTTGCCAGGTAGAATTCACCTTGGTTGGATACATAAAATTCCATCAACTTCCTTGTTTCCAAAGACCCACCATCTTTGTTTCTTTACTTCCGAAGCTAACAAGGTTGATCAGCTCTAAAGCTTGTCACTTAGCACGGTCATGGCTGCAACCGGGGTCAAGGGAAGAACAAAACAGAGACCTGCCAGTACACATGCAGAGAAACAGAGCCAGGACCCCCGCCCTCTCCTCAAGGCCACTGTGATTGTTCATTGACGGAACACTGCCTGAGCCCCCACAGAAGGGTTTTATCTCCCCTTAGAGCTAAGAGTTCTTTAAGATCTGTTTACTTTTTATTTTGAAATAATCATAGATTCACAGGAAGTTGCAAAAATAGAACAGAGAGGTCCCATGTACCCTTCACCCAGTTTCCCCCAGTGGTTTCATCTTACGTAACTATTGTACAGTAGCAAAGTCAGGAAACTAACTTTGGTACACTAGGTGTAGCGCTATGCCATTGCATCACACCCACCACCCCCATCGGCCCTACAAAAGTTTCCCTCGTGTTACCCCTCCCACCCCCATCCCTAACCCCTGGCAACCGATAATCTCTTCTCCATCTCTCTAGTTTTGTTATTTCAAGAATGTTGTATAAATGGAATCACACAGAGTGTGACATTTTGAGACTGGCTTTTTGCGGACTATTGCAAATAAACTGTTATGAACATTCATGTACAGGTTTTTGTGTGGACCTAAGCTTCCATTTCTCTAAATGTGCCATTGCTGGGTCAGATGGTAAGTGCCTCCTAAGTTTTTTAAGAAACTGCCAAACAGTTTTCAGAGTGTCTGTAGCACTTTACATTCCCATCAATAATGTATGAGACGTCCTCATCAGCATTTGGTGTTGAGCATATGACACAAGCGGGCCAATCAGAGCTTTTCCCGGCCATTAGCTAATGATGTTGAGAGAGCCAACTTCTTTACTGGGGCGGCTAATTGTGAGGTGCATTAATCATGTCCTTTTATTTCCTGTATTTCTGACTCTTTGACATCTAGGGCCTTGTTGACCCTGGAGAGACTGCCCTCCCAGAGCTAGCCAATTCCTAGAGATAGCAAAGGATTCTCCTGCAAGCTTGCCTTTCATATGCTAACGAACCAATCCAGAGAGCACAGCCCACCCTCCAGCCTCCTTTATTGGGCTCTTACCCTGGGGGCCACTAGTCCTCTGCCCTAATCAAGCCAGGGCAGGCATCAGACACCTAGAGGCAGCCCCTACACCCCAGAGCTCTCTGAAATTATTCAAACTAACCAAACCAACCAATCCTAAACCTGCGTAGCCTGCTTGGCCCACTTGCCCATTCTTTCCCACAAAAACCTCAATAAAGGCTCTTGCCCACAGTTTCCTCCTGACCAACCCTGGTGCTTCCCCATGTGATCTCCCTATGGCATGTGCTGCCCCCTCATCCTGGGAACCACGAGTAACAGACTGTCTCTTCAACAGCAGTCATCTCTTGACCTTTGGCCTCACCACACCTGAATGATAATAAAACCTACATTTTAAAACATGAGGACAACGTAAGCTTATAGTTGCTGGTGGCCACCCTTCGCCCCATGAGGACAGCCAGTCTGAGAATGAAGTCACCTAAAGAAACGCAAAGGAGAGAGTGTGTCCTGATGGAATCATTTCAGGCCCCAGATCCACCTGTGCCTGAGAAGCATCCGCAACTTCCTTGTTACATGACACTTACCTTTTTATTTTTTTGCTTAAACTATTTTGAGTAGGATCGTCTGTCCCTGGCCCCCTGACCAACACACAGACAGGCCATGGTGCCTCTGCCCAGGCGCTGTTCTACGGCAAGCCCCAAAATCCCAGGAGGGCTGCTTAAACAGTGCTTACTCTGCTGCAAGCTGGCAGAGAAAGGAGTCAGCGGGTGGAGGGCACAAGACCCAGCCTGGAGCATCCACTCAGGGGCCAGCGGGGAGAGCAGCCCACCCAGCTCCGATTCCTCACCAGTGGAAGAAACGGTCAGGTTGGATGTCCCTATGGGCCCTCCCTGCTTGTATTCTCAAATTCTTTAAGTTTACATTTCAAAGGAAAAATAATACTCACTCATGCTTACAGAACACTCACCACAAGTCAGGCACTGCTCAGTGATTTGTATACACTGATTCATTTCATCCTTATAACACCCTACGAGGGTTATGACTCTCCCCATCCTACAGATGAGGAAGCTGAGGCACAGTTGGACAGGCCAGGCTCATCAGTGGAAATGCTGGGAGTAGACCCCACCAGTCTGGGTTTAGAGTTCTTGCTGATGACCACTGCTGAGCCCCTGGGCCCCCTCTCCCACTGTTCCATCCGCAGGAAGTTCTCCTGTCTGACCTGAAGCCTCACTTTCTTTCTTCAGTCCTTTCTACAGTCTCTTCTTTCCCAGACTTAATCATCTATGTCTTTTTAGACTTCCCTCCAAAGTATTAGCCTCTGTTATTTTAATTCCCTCCCACATTCTCCCTCAAGTAATTCCAAACAGGGTATACAGTGGGGAGGTCTTCGTTCTGGGGACCAGGCCAGCGAAAAGCCTGTGGCCATGGAGGCGATGTCACTTAAAAGAGAGCGCTCCCCAAGGCCAAGCAAAGACCTCAGGGAGGAGTCTGCGCTGGGAGTGGGCGGGGCCGGAACCGGAAATCCTACTGGGCACCCTGGAGCTGAAGATTCAGGCGCTTCAGTTGCCTCTGTCTCCCGCTTGTGAGAAGTCCCGCGATGGGTGTTCTTTTCATCTTCCCAACGTCCTGTAATAGAGTTTTCACTCCCCACCATGACCGCTCCCGCTGTTTCCGAGATCAGGAAACTTGCACTAATATTTTGACTAAGTGGTGGTACTGAGATTTACTTTCAGGTCTAACTTCAAAGCTCATGTTCTCTCTACTACATCATTAAATAAGTGTTTTTTAAATACCTCTCAGTGCTTGACACTGCATTGTTTGTGGCTGTCAGGGAGGATCGGGACTGGCCCAAACGTGGGCAACTTCTTTCTTTGGAAACAAGTCAACACGTGGTGGGTGAGAGCCATGCCAGGTAGCACGAGTAGAGACCCCATCAGAGCAGTGGCATGGAGAGGATGCTTCTGCTCTGCAGCTGGCAATGGAATCGGGGGACTGGACTCTTCTTGAAGGTCCCTGCACCGCCGGTTGAGGGGCACATCATTCTCAAAGAGAAATGTACCCAACATCTATTTGCAGACCCAGAAGAGTGGTGTGAGGACTCACGTGACAGTGCTCTCATGCCCCAGCCCACGGCCACGCCCGAGGCAACAGTTGGTAGCAGTTTGAGCTCTAACTGCAGAGGCGGCTCTTGGAAAGGGCCGACACCCACAACCCGCCCTCCGCCAGCGGCCCTCACTCCACCTCCCCGGGCCCTGGAAGGCGCGTCCTATGAGCTCATTTGTCCTGGGGCATTAGATGCGCTCCCTGTGGAACCAGGACGCTGAGCCTGGAAGGAAGTTGGCGGGCGGGGCGAGCTTTGCCCCATCGAGAGAAGAAGTTTCTAAATTCAGAAGGGGGCAAAACCGGGACCCAGCCTTGCGCCGTGTCCTCTTCCCTGGGGTGATGGAATTTCTGACATCGTTAGTAGTTCTGGGACTGTTGTGGAGCCTGAAACCGTTGCTACCGGCCCTTCCAGTTCCGCCTCAGCCCAGCATCGCCTCCACCACGCAGTTCACACACCACAAATGCCCACACATATAGGAGGCCTCTCCTGGACCACCACGCAGGACAGTAACTCAGTGAGTGTCCCTTCCAGCTTCGTGTCTAATGGCCAAGCTTCCCCTTGCCCACACCGCGAGGCTCTCTCACTGTGGGAAGCCTTCCTTCCAGAGCTGACCTCCGAGGGACTTTGCTAAGGCGGTAGCTTGCCGGCCCTTCCCACCAGGGGCGCTTTAAGAGAAAAAGTCACTGGGCGGCTCATTAGAAGCCATTTCCTGTAGGTTCTCCAGCAAATTTTCTGATGCTGTGGTCCCACAGCAGCGTATCCAAAAATACGTTTTCCTGGTCTCACCCCTACACTTTGCCACTTACCCACTCTGAAATTGCCTTCTATTTCAGTAAAATAATTTATGGCTGACGTGGTGGGGGGGTGGGGATCCTCCCTCCCGATCCACTGGTCCTCCGAGCCCCTTCCCAGGGGTTCTTTTAGGGCACTTCTCTTCAAAACCATTGAATTTTCAGGACACTGAGACCCAGAGAGACTTAAGATCTCTGTGCCTCACTTTCTTCATCTGTAGAACAGTGATGATACTCAAGAGTTTCTGCGAGGATCAAATGAATAATTACAGATAATGTGCTTAGAACAGTGCCTGCCTTATAGTAAGTGCTTCCGAAATGTCAGCTGTTGCTATTTTTATTAGTGTTGTTATTTTCTTGCCTCCCGGGCCTGGCTCGAGCATTTCCTCTTTGGCGTGTAGCTGCCTGTGCTCGGCCGGGTGGGGTTGGGGGGCCTCCCCAGGCCTTTCAGTGACAGCGGCTCTCTGGAGAGCTGAGACCGGGTGGGGTAACAAGTTTCCTTCTGATGCTCTGAAAGCCAAGCCATTAGCACTAGGGGGAGACTTCTAACACCAGCCCCACCCTGCGGAGCCCATTTGAGCCCTGGGAAGAGAAAGGGCTCCGGAGCCTGCCACCTCCAACGTAGGTGGACGGTACCCAGGGAGCGGGGCCTCTGTCCTGAGCGGAGCTCAGACTCGCTACCTTCCAGATTCTGGGCAAGTAAAGGCTTGGCCTAGTTCCTCGGCAAGCCTGAGCCTCTGAACTAAAACGACAGCTGTCATTGGCTATCTCCCAGGAATTCTTGCAACATCTAATTAAAGCTCTTTAGCATGCCGAAATCTAGGTGGCGGGAGCATCCGTGTTGGTCTGGTCCCCGGGCCGCGGCGGGCAGCACGTGGGCCTGGCCCGCGTGGGCTTTCGCCATCGGGCTTTGTCACTGAGCGACTCAAGGCTAGGACCCGACCGGTGTCATCTTTGCAGGACGACATCTAACTCCGGAGGTGCTGGGGGAGGAGGAGCCTCAAAGGACCGCCGCTCGCTCGGCCTTCGCGGGGCAATGGCGACACCTGGTGGTCATGGCAAGAAGCGGAGGCGCCTCCCCGCCTCTCTGGTTCCCTCGGCCGCTCCACGACGCTTCTGTCCCTTCTCCGTCGCCCGCGCCCGCCCCGCGGCTCCACCCTGCCGGGGACCGCGCTCCTCCGTCCCCTTCCAGCTCGCCCCCAGGGCCGCGCGCCCAGGCTTTGCCGCCCCTCCTGGGGGCCAGCCCTGCCCAGGCTGGGGGCCAGCCGGCTCAGTGCCAGGGGCCCGCGAGCAGCAGAATGTCACTCCTGTTTGGCTCTAGTCTCCCTCCAGGATGCCTGTCCCCTGGCCACCTGTTGGCCTCCTAGTATATACGGTTCCAGTTCCTGCTGGCAGTTCTGTGGGAATTCAGAGCCAGTGCTGAAGAAGAGCCTCCCCAGGGACTGAGGTGTCCTCTGCCTCACACTGTCACCCCGCAAACGGCTTGCCTCGTACCTGAAATCCGGCTGCCGGTGCCCAAAGCTCAGAGTGTCAGCCTCGCTGAGGCTGGATCGGGGGCTCTCTGGACATGCCCGAGACGGCAGGCGCGGGGAGCGTGCACGGGTGAGGATGACGGGAGGAGGCCGCCAGTGCCCAAATGAGGATGCAAGGACAGCCCCGCCCGTGGGCACGTTGGTAGTCAGGCCTCTGCTTCCCCAACACATACTGATTTTCCATTAAGGGGCTTCTGGTGAGGATGATGGGGACGGTGATGGTGGCGATAGGGAAGCTTTATGAACCCCTCCCAGTGCACCAGACACATTGTTCAGCACTTTACATACATTTTTCTCATTTTATCCTCTCATCAGACCTAAGATGTTAAGTATACCTGTCAATGTTTTGCAGATAAACAAACTGAAGCTTAAAGAATTGATAGAAGTCGATGAAGGTGAAGGATGAGGAACCTCAGGTCTGATGGATGCCAAGACCCCTGGACCAGGACATACAGGCCCCAGGCGTCTGCAGTGACTGACTGAGGTATACCCGTGCAGAGATTACTATCACAGTGCTGTTTCACCCTCAGGGGACGGTTTTGCACACTACTCCATCTCCTGTCCAAGTAGCCCTTTTGTTGATCCTCAGTGTACCAAGGAAATGTGACTCCAGGAGCCCAGGAGGTGTTCAGCCAAGTCCTCCTGCCCTGACCTTGTCCTGGGTGATGTCACAGACTCGCTCTCATGCCGCCCGTGTGCCCCTCAGCCTTCTCGTTCCAGGTCTCAGTGGGTTCCCTTAAGGACACTGTGACATGTGCCACCACCATCTCACTCCACGGAGAGCCAGCCTGAAGCCCCCAGCACAGAGCCTGGTTCAGTGGGCACCCGTTAGACCTTTGAAGAACGGATGAATGAATGCTGTGTTAATTTCCTAGAGCTGCTGTAACAAAGCGCCACAAACAAGGTGGCTTAAAAACAGCAGAAACTTGCTTTCTCACAATTCTGGAGGCCAGAAGTCCAAAATCAAGGTGTCGGCACAGTCATGCTCCCCTGACGACTGTAGGCAGGGTCCTTCCTTGCCTCTTCCACCTTCTGGGGGTGACTAGCAGGCCTTGGCAGTCCTTGGCTCGTAGATGCATCACCAGTCTCCACCTCTGTCTTCGAGGAGCCCTCTCCCTGTGTCAGCCTGTGTCTCCTTTCGCTTTTACAAGCACACCAGTCACATTGGATTAGGTCCCACCCCAATGACCTCATCTCAACTTGACCACATCTGCAAAGACCTTATTTCAAAATAAGGTCCCACGCACAGGCACAGGAGTTAGGACTTCAACATAGCCTTTTGAGGGACACAATTCAACCCATAATAATTGTCAAGGGCAATTTGCTTGTGGTTTGACTTTCAATTAAAATTAAAGCTCGCGGGTTTGGTTTGTCCAGCGAGTGAAAGGTTGGCAGCATTTATGAGGTGGTGTCGCCTTACACACTGCAGAGATGTACTTGTTTCATCCGTGACTCCTTTCCTTTTTATTAGTCCATCAGTGATGCTTTTGTGGTCACAGTAATGACAGTGTTTACTCCAGGCTAAAGTGCCTGTGCTCCTCGCTCTCTCTTTCATGTTAGGTGTTAAAATGGAATATTAACTTGGAATATAGCCTCTCCTTCCTGTGCAGTGGCAAGAAGCATTCTAAAGTCAAAATAAGTCAAGCTGACCTCACATTCCTTTTTTTTTCTTTCTATTTTTTCTCCCCAAATGCCCCCAGTGCATAGTTGTATATTTTAGTTGTGGGTCCTTCTAGTCGTGTCATGTGGGATGCTGCCTCAACGTGGTTCCAGTGGTGCCATAGTCCATGCCCAGGATCCGAACCAGTGAAACCCTGGGCCGCCAGAGCTGGGCACACGAACTTAACCACTCGGTCATGGGGCCGGCCCCTGACCTCACATTCTAACTGACGTCCAAACTCCTCTGCCTGGGCCTTAAGCCTTAAGCCCAGCCCCAACTCTCCTTTCCTGCTGCCGCTCCTCCTTTCGCACACTCTTGGGGCTCCACGCACACTGCTGCTTCCTCTTCCTGGAAATACCCCTTGGACTTTCACATTCACACCTTTGCTGTATCGTACCTGGAGTCCCCTTCCTGTATCCAGCTCTTCCTGTTCAAATTCCACCCAATCTTTCAGGCCAAGTTCAAAGGCCACCTCCTCCAGGAAGCTTTCCCTGATCCTCCAGCTTCCTGCTCAGAAGGCCAGTGGCTCTGGTCGGCCTTCACTTAAGGCACTGACCACACACTGCTCCAGTCTGAAGCAAATTTATGTCTTTCCCCCATTCCCTCTACTCCTACTAAAGAGTAATGAAGAAAAGTCTAGAGGCCACTTATTTAAGAAATGGCTGAGGTTGCTGGGGATGTTCGCTTGGAGAAAAGAATATGTCCAGGGAGGCAGGTGCCCCAAGCTTCCTTCAAGGGCTCAGATTCTATCAGACTAGGAGCTCCTTGTGGAAACTACACCTGGGCCTCTTCAGAGGTCCTTTATACACACACACACACACAAACACCTGTGCCTAGCACAGAGCAGGGCTCCAATATAACCTCCTGCCCAATGGAAAAGTTCTCTCTTTTGCACACTTTTCAGGTGGTGTGGTAAGCAGAATTCTAAGATGGCCCCCAAGACTTCCCGCACCCCAGGTGTGCCTGCCCTGAGTAATCCCTAGGACTGTGAAGATGATGGTTTCACTCCTGTGATTAGGTCAGGATATACGGCCCAGTTGATGTTAAAATAGAGAGAGTATCTGAGTGAGCCTGTCCTCATCACCGGAGCCCTTTAAAAGCAGAGTTTCCTCCAGCTGGTCACAAAAGGGGAAGTCAAAGTGTGAGAGGGATGTGACTCGGGGGAGGTCCTCCAGGGCTAAGGTGGAGGGGCCACATGACAAGGACCTGAGAGTGGCCTCTAGGTGCTGAGAGCAGTTCCCAACCACCAGCCAGCAAGACAACAGGCATTCAGTCCTACAACCATAAGGAAGTGAATTCGACCAACAACTGAGGAAGCTGGGAAGAGGGTCTTTCCCTAGTCGGAGCCTCCAGATGAGGACATGGTTGGCCGACATCTTGGTTTCAGCCTCATGAGACCCTGAGCAGGGGGAACGGCTAAAATGTGCTGGACTCTTGACCCATGGAAACCATGAGCTAATAAATGGCTGTTATGTTAATCTGTTCTGTGTGTGGTAATTTGTTATACAGCCATAGAAAACTAACACAGGTGGTCAACTCCGCAGGCACCGCCAGGACAAAGCACACCCCCCAATCCACTGTAGGAAGCTCTAAAGGCTGGAAACAGCTTCCCCCCAACCAACTGAAAAAGAAAAGCAATGAGGGGAAATTTACCCGAGGAGACATTAAAGTTTATTTTAAAGCCAGAAGAATAGAAATGCCCTGGTATTAGCTCAGGGGTACAGATAGATTAATCAGACCAATGGGATACAATAACAGGCACAGAACTAAACATATGTGTATGAAAGTTGTGTTCATGATAAAGGAGGCATATTGAGAAATAAATCACTAAATAAATGGTGGTTATTTAATAAATGATGCTGAATCAATTTGTTATCCATTTAGAAAAATTCAAGTTAGATCTCTCCACCTCACACTATATATAAATTACAGCTTAATTAAATGACTAAAATAAATCCCTAAATAACCAGGTTATATGTACAAATAATACAACCTGTAAAGTACTACAATGTTACAAAACCATTGAAAGAATATTTGTACAATTTTTCGGTAGGGAAGGCTTTCCGAAGCAAAACATTTAACATGGAAGCTGTAAAGGAAATTTCCAAGAGGTTTGACTACATCAATTCAAAAATTCAATTAGACATTGGGACCAATAACAAGGCTAAAAGCAAGAATCAACCTGGAAGAAACTGTTGACATATATATAACAGGCAGAGGATCAATATCCAGGTCCAGAATATACAAAAGCTTGTACTGATAAATTAAAAATTACAAACAACTAGATTAGGAAAAGGCAATTCACCGAAAAAAGTCAATGGGCCATAAACTATGAAAAGCTTCTTACCTTACTAGTAATCAGGGAAATTCAGACTAAAATCACAGTAAGATGTCCCTCTCAATCCCACGTGATTGGCACCATTTCTAAGTTGATGATACTCATCGTGGGCGAGGGTGAGAGTGAGGAAGCATCTAATACACATTTGTTGGGACTACAAAATGATGAGGCCTTCTGGGGGCCAATTTAAAATTCTAAGCGGACAGACTCTTCAATCCAACAATTCTACTTCTAAATAGCTATCTAGAGAAATATTCGAAGAGGCACATGAAAGGCATTTATTGCAGCATTTGTATAATATTTGGAAACAAGTTAGCTCCCCATAATAGAACAGTGGTTAGATAAATTGGGGTCTATTCGTACTGTGGAATACTGCAGCTTTTATACTGAAAATAAGGCAGGTCTCTATGAACCAACGTGATAAGATCTCCTGTACATATCATTACATGAGAAGAGGAAGTTACAGAACAATACTGACGTAAGTTTTTTCAATTGATTCTGAGACACACCTTTTATCACATTTCAACATCTCTGAAAATCTGAAGTCACTTTACAATCAATCACAAGGTTTAAGTGCTGTTGGTCCAGTGCCACGTAAGTTGTAGCTATATCGCCTCAGCATATGTGAACCCTGAAATTTTCAGTTAACAAACCATTTAAGGACCATTTGATAAAGGAACACGAGTCCTGTCTGTTGTCTAAAAACCTCCTGTTAACTTCTGGTGAGATCAACAAAGTGCCAGCATCCAAAATTGCAGAATGATGGGGCCAGCCCGGTGGCGCAGCAGTTAAGTTCACACGTTCCACTTCTCAGTGGCCCAGCGTTCACCAGTTCGGATCCCGGGTGCAGACATGGCACCGCCTGACAAAAGCCATGCTGTGGTAGGCATCCCATGTATAAAGTGGAGGAAGATGGGCACGGATGTTAGCTCAGGGCCAGTCTTTCTCAGCAAAAAGAGGAGGATTGGCGTTAGTTAGCTCAGGGCTGATCTTCCTAAAAAAAAAAAAATTGCAGAATGAGCGTGAACAACTTGGAAGAAACTCCCTGAGACAGTAGTGAAGCAGTCTTTTAGGGAACGCCGCATCACAAGGCTCTTGATGGTGCAAAGAAGGATACAGGGTGTAAAACAGTCATGGGCAATTCGGGGTCAGAAGAGATTCAGAAGGGTCCAATTCCTGACACTCAGAGATTTTAGCCAACACCTGAACCACCTTATTCTATTTGTATTCTCCATTTAACATATGGACATGAGATATAATACCAAAAAAAAAGCTTCATGTAAATAATTTTAAACAAACTCTTTCAATAAATGTAAAATAAAAATTGTAAGTGAAAAGAAAGCATTGTGTCATAGTTTACCTGGCAGTATATTCTCTTCTTGGTGCATATTATTATTGATGGTTTCTAATAGCTGATAAAATACTGTATTATGATTCCATTGATGTGAGCAGAAAACAAACTACATATGTGTATAAATATATACGTATGATAGTAAATGCATTGAGAAAAGATGAGAAAGATGGAAAGATAAAACATCTGTGAAGAATTAGCTTCAGTGAGAATGCGGTGGGAGGGGAGCAGCAAAGAGGGCTCTGACATTGTCCTCTATGTGTCTCTGTATTGGAACCTTTTACATTAAGAAGGCACTAGCCCTATGAGATTTAAAATATACTATTACATATTCAGAGATTTAAAATATATTAATATACCAGATATTAAATCATATTACATATTAAATTATTAAGCTGTAGGAATTTAAGTAGTATGGGAATAGTACAGGAATAGGCAGACAGACCAATGGAACTGAACAGAAAGCCCAGAAATAGTTGCAAGTGTAAGTGGGAATTTAGAAGGTGACCCCATTACTGGCTGAGGTGCCAAGTACATGCTACAGTAAGACTCAGAGTGTGACAAGATGCTTGTGGTGACAGGAACTCCAGTTTATCCTCCTCTTAGCCTCTGGCTTCCTGTAAAGTGCCCAGGGATCCTGGGTTACTAGCTTACAGATGGGGAGGTGGCTTCTCTGGTTGGGTCCTGTGGTCTCTAGGGAGGAGGCCCTGCTTGGGAGAAAAGCCGGTTTCGGAAGTGATGTTCCGAGCTTGGCAATGAAGCCTGTTTCCTGCTCCAGTCACTAACACAGGAGTAGAAATGGAAGCCTCATCCAGCACTAGCTTGTTTGTTTGTTTGTTGTTTAGGAGAGGGATCCCTTGCTCAGCAGACCCAAACAGCAGTTGTTACTGCTCTGAGCAAGAAGTTCTTTCGGTTCACACACAAGTTCATCCTTGCCCACAAATCAATGGAGTAACATCTTTTCAGTGCAGAAAGGAAAAACCATCAGCCTAAACTTCTTTATCCAGTGGAATTTTCAAAAATGAAGGTGGAACTTTTACAGACAAACAAAAGCTGAAAGAATGTCTTGCCAGCAGACCTGTACTATAAGAAACGTTAAGGTCATTCTTCAGGCATAAGGGAAATATGCCGGATGGAAAGTGAAATCTACACAATCCCTCTTGATATGAACCTTGACCAGATGGCTGAAATAATGTTTGACAGGTTTCTCTACTGTAAAGTTACTCAACAATTAATTTTTGACAAAGATGCCAAAGTATTTAATGGGTGAAACAGACTTTTCAATAAATGGTGCTTTAACAACTGGATAGTCTTATGGGAAAAAACCTTGACCCTTACCTCACAGCACATACGAAAATTAACTTGAAATGTATCATGGACTCAAGTATAAAAACTAAAGCTATAAAACTTCTGTAAGAAAACGTAGGAGAAAATCTTCACGCATAGGAGGTAGGCAAAGACTTCTTAGGACATGAATGGCACAATGATAAATGAGAAGCTTGATAAAGTTGACTTAAAATTTAAGAACCTCTCTTTGAAAGACACTATGAAGAACATGAAAAGGCAAGCCACAGATTGGGAGAAAATATTCACAGCACATGTATCTGATAGAGATCTTGTTATAGAATATATTTAAAAATCTTACAAGTCAATTAGAAGGCAAACAATCCAATTTTTTAAATGGCAAAAGATTTAAACAGACTCACAAAAATATATATAAATGGCCAATAAGCACATGAAAAGATGTTAAACATGATTAGTCATCAAGGAAACGCAAATTAAAACCACAAAGAGATGCTACCACATACTCACTAGCATGGGTAAAATTTGAAAAACTCGCAGTACCAAGTGTTGGTGAGGATGGGGAATAAATGAAATGTTCATTCTTTTCTGGGAGGAAAGTGAAATGATGCAATCCCTTTGGAAAAGAGTTTGGTACTTTCTTCAAATGTTCAACACACATTTAGGATACAAGCAATCAGTTTCACTCTTAGGAGTTTACCCAAGAGAAATAAAAACAGATATCCATCCAAAGACTTGTACATAAATGTTCATAGCAGCCTTATGCATAATAGTGAAAAACTGAAAACAGGCTTGACATTTTACCAAAATATTAGATTTCTGATATTCTTAAGTGCCTCCAGGCAGGCTGGTTCAATAAAGAACCTATTAAGTTGAAAACCAGAAATAGTGACAAATGTGTGCACCATCTATTATTTTGTGGATCATTCCTGGGCAAGATTTTAGCTCAGTCATGCCCCAATAACAAGTTAGGAACAACCTACTAATTACCTATGACAAGTACCATTCTAGGCTCTACCAAAGACATAAAGCAGCGCAAGCCATGGTCCCTGCCTCAGCATCTGAGCTCCCCAGTCTTGAAGAATTCCCACCTTCTGGAGGAGAGCCCACCTCCCACTATAGAAGCAGAATGTGCCAAAAACTTGCTTTCCCAGCCTGTCTTGCAGCCAGGATGTGGACACGTGATCTAGGCTCTCCAATCGATGTACCTGACACAGACTTTGCCTTACAGACTACTGAAAAGACATGAGCACTGTGAAGAATCCATGCTGGTGAGGGTGGCTGTGGCAGGGGCAGTTCCCTCCAGGTTCCAGAGGCAGCAACAACGTCAGGGCCCGGTGTGGGCGCTGCTGGCAAATCTGACTGCCGTGTCAGGGCCCAGCAGACCAGTTCTGCAAAGTGATACAGGCAGTGCTTGGCTCTGTGGACTCCAAGGCCATATCTTCTGCTCTAGCTGAGATTCTAATTACTAAGTTGGATCCTTTTAATAAATTCCTTTTCTGCTTAAATTAGCCAGAGTTGATGTCTTAGCTTACTAGCTAAATCATGGCCTTAAGGAATTCACAGTCTAGGCAAGATGCTTACATAGACTCTCTGAAACAAGAGGGAACAGAAAGATAGTATTACACAAGCATTAAACTGGGTAGAGTAAGTTAGAATCTCAAAAGTAAGAGGGATCGCTCAGTGATTTAGGAACTTTCAGAAGAGAAGCTTAGCAGTGGGAGAGCCATCAGAAAAGTAGGAAGTGGGTGGTGCCCCCCCCCCCATGGCCACATGCTGTGTGACCTGAAGGCATAACGACCATCTGTTCCCCAGGATTGCTCACAGCCCAGAAGAACAATATCAGAGCCTCCCTTTCTCTTCAGAGCCACAGCTTCTGGGCAGCACGTGATGAGCAGGGGTTCACTTGAGCAGCTGCTTCTGTGTTTCTGTGACCTCAGCTGCCCTCATTTTCTGCCTAAGGTGGCAGCTGTGGCAACCAGTTGTTTGCCATGCCAGTCCTGCAGGTGTCCCTCAACTAAATGTTTCCCCAAGGCCCCAGGAGCCCTGGGCACCCACAAGAGATTTGTTAAAGGTTGTTCGTGCCACAACTGTTCTAGTTCTGAAGAGGGGGAGTGAGTTTGTGGCTGTTCATTTTATTATTACACTCTGTATCTTATATCTTATGTTCATTCATTTTTATTTATCAAGTATTACATGATATTAATTTAGTTAAAAGTTTTACTGCCAAGAACTATAGCAAATGGGGATGCTTACAAAATTATAAGGAATCCGGGAAAGCACATGAGTAGTAAGCCCTGGACACTCCGAGTACAGTGGGAGCTCCTACCACCTGTCCTGACTCCTGGGTATAGAATGGGTTAGACACCACACTGGGCGACTCTGATTCCAAGATGATGATGCCAGCTGTCACTGCCCCCAGGACTAGGGGATGGACTCTGTCCCTGCTGGAACCCCTACTCCCAGTCCCCTCAGCTAGCTTCCTGGGGAGAGGCATGGCCACCTTCCCTCTTTTAAATCCCCCTCCTGCACCTTCTGTTAAGTTTCTGTTTGAGAAATGCCTTTAGCTTTGCCTGCTTCTCTAGGTTTTCACTGGAAACTCACCCAGGTGTCATATCCCCCACCTCCCACCTTCACCTTCTGGTCCCAAGGAAGTAATCCTCAAGAATCCTATGACTAGTGGTGGAGAGATGACCATGGCTGACGGCTATGAGGCAGGCCTCATCCAAATTGGAGCAGTAAGACAAAGGGCCACTCCAGAAAAGTAATTAATTAATGGAACCAAATCTTATGTGAGGTGACTCTCCATCGTAAAAGGAATTTAATTGTTCCATTGCAAAGTTCGGGGCTGACAAAAGAGCTGCAGGAGTGATGTCAGCAAAATGGCAGAGTGAGCAGTTCCCTTTGTCTCTCCCCCTTTGAACTATAACTAAATGGACATTCACTGATCAACGGAGGATGCTCACACAGCACCTCAGGATGCCTAGAGACCCACACTGCTATACATCGGACGGTGGATGGACTATCCCCGGGGAGGAGGTAGAGATAGGTAAAAATTCTCCAGCCCGCAGACAGCCCAGTTCCCGTGAGCAACTGCTCTCCTGGCTGATGCTCTCATAGCACCACTGCAGTCCCAAGAGTGGGTATGTGCCTCAGCGCAACTGTGGAAACAGGTGACTGCAGCCCTGAGTCCCCTGT